AGGTATAACCTCCCCCCCCCCCCCCCAAATTACAGGCCTTCTATCATAATCTGAAAACATGCTTATTCTGGAAGTCCTTTGGAAGTATTCAGTTATGTCTGATATTTGAATGTAACACTGTTACTGAATTTTTAACTGTTTGAGCCATCTTGGATGTTCATTTGAACATAGAAAGACAATATAGTGCTGCCAGTGTTCAGACTAAGAAATTAAATTTAAGAGATATGATAGGAATTAAAGTAATATCAGCATGTTGATATCCTCTCACGAAAGCTGCATTATTCATTTAGCTTCTTATGCAAGCATTTTTATGTTCACAAGTCCATCTATTCATTTCGGAGAGATCTTAAAAAAAATAGATTGCACAGACAAAATCAGTTTCCCTCATTTTCTCTTGTTGAAATCTGAAAGTTCTGTGCAGTCCACAGAAAAACAATAAACTTAAAGAAGAAAACAGACATAACAGTATTGCCTAACGGGCAATAACAAATTTAGAAGAGGAAAAAAATGGCAGGTATGGAAAATAAGAGAATGGACTATGAAGCATTAAGGAAGTCTAAAACAGAGCAATTAATCTTGCACGGGAAAATAGTATTTGCATTTTTTATTTTACAAGCATACTGACTAGAAAACACTTTGACTTCTTTTATTAAGAGCAACACAGACACAACTTACTTCATTTTACTACACTAGAGAGAGTAGTTTCAACCTTTTAAAAAAAATATCAAAACATGGCATACTTTGTTTCCTTTCTCACATTATAAAACGATAGCTATTCAACTTTGTACTCTTTGCTCTCCAGTTGTTCAAGTCTGTATCCTTTTTGCTGCATTTTAGAAGCTGTGCAAATGTAAAGCCATTCCCATTAATTTGCAGAAAGTATTTGAATTGCCAAACATACACCTTGAGAACATAACTAGCCACAGAATATACTTCGGTAGGATTGTAATAAGATGATGATAATGATAATAATAATATGCCTAGCTGAGAGCTTACGTACACCTAGGACTTTTTTGGGTTTCATTAAGGAAATTCAATTTAGTGAGACTATGGCAAGTGAAAACATACAAAGGGGTCAACCTGGTACAGTCCGTATGAACCGAAGTAAGTCATGACCTATATTACATTATTTTCCATGACCAAGCAAAAAGGACAGGCATCTTGGTTGGACTTCCAACAGGCATCTGGGTAACTGAAATCTCCCATGACCACCATGTCCCATCTCTCTGAGAACTTTGTAATTTGTTCTAGGACTGCCTCATCCAAGTCCTTTTATTTTTACCCAGAGACTCTCCATGCTCAGATTCATGTATTTCCTCACACGTATATACTTCCTTTATATATGCTACTCCTCCGCCCTTCCTTATTTGTCTATCCCTTTTAAATAAGTTGTACCTCTCAACCCTAATATACCTCTTGTGAGTGCCATCCCATCAAGTTTCAGTAATGCCGATTGGGTCATAGTACCCCTCCCGTATGAGGACTTCAAGTTCCTCCTGCCTGTTTCCCATACTCTGTCCATTAGTGTAGAGACATCAGAATCCATGTTTCATGCACCCCTGAGGTTTTCATTTCTGTACTTACCTGCAGTTAATGTTACCTAGCATATGTGCCACTCCCCACAAAACTTTAGTGTTCTTATATCTGGTTATTGGCATCATACTAGGCTTTGAATTTTTGTCTTGCTCCCCCATAGGATTTAGTTTAAAGCCCTCCTTATTAGGTTTGCAAGGCTCTTACCAAATACATTTTTCCCCACCCTCGTGAAGTGCAAACCATCTCCCAATAGAAGAGCTTCATCTCAAAACCATGGTCCAAAAATCCAATTATCAGTCACTTATTTGCAGTATTCTTCTTTCCCTTCCTAAGCCATGGCCTTCAACAGGAAGAACTGATGATAATACAACCTGCACTTCCAGGTCTTGCAGCTTTTTACCCAGAGACACATAGTCTCTTTTAATACATTCTGGGTTGTGCCAGACAGTATCATGGGTCAAGCTTTCCATTCCTTGTAGAACTAGGTGGCTTACCTGTAACTGTTGCTCACTGAGTGGTCATCTGTACATTCACACTGACGGGCCTTGTATCTGCACAGAGCCTTGATTCAGAAGGTTCTGCAACTAGCTTTTAGATGTAAAAATCTTCTACAACTAGCATTTAGTTGCAAAAATATTCTTGCCTCAGATAAGCAGACTAGACTGTGCATGCTCAAAAGGAAGGAGCAACAACCTCCTACTCAATTCCTTCCAAAAATCTAAGAGTATGTCACAGCAAATTAAGGCATCTGCTGCAGAAAAAGTGGATATTGTTGCTTCAGGAAAATGAGGAGTGGACCTTTGCTCTGCACTGTTCTAGAAATGAGGATCCTTTACTGAAGACTCTACTGATGCAGCATAACTCTGGAGGAATGAACTTGGAGTTTCTCAGTTAAGAGACTTGTGAATGGTCTGAAAAACCTAGTGGCTGAGTTTCTGGGAGACCTATTTATTTATTTATCCCTCCTTAGCGGCCAAGTAGCAGAGAAACAGACTAGTATGTTGTCTGCAGGTAGCAGTCCAGTCAATATAATATATAACAATGCAAAGTCTGCTTTGTCATCCAAGGAAGAGGAGGAAAAGAGGGCCCTGACAAGCCCTGCTCCCTGTGCTCTACCTGCAGAAGTTAGACAGATGGCAACCAGAGACTGAGCTTTACATTTCACCTGTGAAACGCCCTTCCCTTTGAGGTTCAAGTAGCACCTACCCTACCTGCTTTAAAGGCACCATTTCATTTTGCACAGACGTTTGATTAAGGGATTGTTTAACATTATTTTTACAGTGTGCTTCTATATAGGAAACTGTTTTAGGAGACCAATTTAAGTGCAAATTCTTTCTGCCCTGGACCCCAGCTCAACAGACTCTTCTGCTCAGCATATGTTCTCCTTTCACTCTTTTATTTCCCCTTAAATTTCCCCCATTCATCCCCCAATTAGGTAACAATTACTATAGCACTGTCAAGATTCTGTTACTAAATTGCAATATTATTTTATATATTTGTTCTCCCTTACACTTCATCTCTCTAGCCTTGTATCTTGCTAAGGGAATAAAGAATTAAAAAATTCTTTTTAAAATTCATTCTTTCTGTCTCATTTTTCCTTCTTAATTGGGGTGCTGTAAAGTAAAGGGTTGGGACCTGGGTATACACCAGACTGTTCAGTTTCAAAATAATTACCCTGGCCACACAGTCTAACTCTACACATTTAGAGAACACTTCACATGTTATGAGACTGACATAGGCATCAATTTGGGTAACAGTATGCCTTATGGGCTGCATGTGGAAGAGAGTCCTTACTTTTGGTTTCGCCATCAAATCACAGCCAACTTACAGTGATCTTGTAGGGTTTTCAAAGCAAGAGACATTCAGAAGCGATTTGCCATTGCTTGCCTCTGCAAAGCAACCCTGTATTTGCTGGTGGTCCCCCATCCAAATACTAACTAGAACTGACCCTGCTTAGCTTCTGAGATCTGACAAGATTGGGCTGGCCTGGGCTAGCCAGGTCAGGTGAGACTCCTTTCTTAGAAGGTCTCAAAGTTAGCCTTGAAGCCAAGATTCTATTAGCAGGCCACTGAGAAGAGATGAGGAGGGATCAGTCTCTAATGGGGCATGCCAGTCCATTAAATAATTATGAGGGCTTTCCCAGACAGCAGCCCTTAAATGAGAAGCCAAGATTTCAATGTGCCCACATCCCAGGTTTCTGGCAATCGATACAGGGGTCAGCTTTTTGTTTTTCCACTAGGAAGAGGAGAAAATGATCATACCCATCCAAATAACATAATTTTAACCCTTGCAGTCTGGCAGCATTTAACAATGGTGTTCTGCACAACTACCTTTGATATAACTAACCACGACTGCTATAACTATATATGCTAAAAACTAAAAGGTAAAGGTTTCCCTTGCTCAAAAGCTAGTCGAATTCGACTCTAGGGGGCAGTGCTCATCTCCGTTTCCAAGCCGAAGAGTCAGCGCTGTCCCAATACATTTCCGTGGTCTTGTGGCCAGCATGACTAAATGCTAAGGCACACGGAGCACTGTTACCTTCCCACCAAAGCGGTACCTATTTCTCTATTTGCAATTTCTTGCTTTCAAACTGGTAGGATGGCAGGAGCTGGGACCAGAGACGGGAGCTCACTTGGTCACACAGCACTAGGGTCTCAAACTGCCGAACTACAGACCTTCCAGTCTGCAGCTCAGCGTCTTAACCTCTGACACAAATAAATAAATAAATAAATATAAATGAAACTAAGGAACTTGCTCAATCAATGCTACTTCTGCAACAGGAGAAACCTGAGAAGGAAAGCACAACTTCCCTCCCTTGGGCATGCACAGTCTGAGCTGTGTCTCTGAGGGGAGAAGATTTTCATGCCTAAATGCTCACTCTGGAAGTTTCCAAACTGTGGCTCTGAGCCCAGTACAAAGCCCATGAGCATAATAGACAAAGACCACAAAGTAGTAACAGAACGGCACAGTACCTGTGCATGCCATACATGTAGGGGGCACACTAGATTCCATTATCCCGTGACAATTTGTCTGCTGTGATCCTTAAGTAAACTGAGCTAAAGTCTTCTTTTGGTTTAGAACAAGTGTAATTTCCTGTAGTGTTTTAAGTAGTACAAATGGACAATTGATAAGAACTTTCAGGAGCCACTGCATTTCCCCCTGTATCCCCTTCCCCACACCGTTACATCTTTCTCTCCTCTAGGAGGTCCATATATTCTCTCTGGTTTCCCTGCTTCCTATTTTCCTTCCCACTCACCAACTGACTTTTCTTTTAACTGTCCCCCTCAGTCTTCAGCTTTATTTA